AAATGAAAATCTCAAACGCTCGGGATGACCAACCCAGGCCTGCTTACCGAAAACAAAGAAAGATCTATTTTGCCCTCTGAGTGTAGCTTTGATCGGGGACGACCCTCCATCGTACTGGAGGTGGACGATATTGATTTCCACCCCAGTATATCAGCAAACTGATATATCAGCCTGTTCTGAATGCGAGCACACAAAGCAATTCACGACCCTCTATCGCCAAACATCACATGAGCATTGTGACTGATTGCTGTGTCTCATGTCCGCTCAGCTAAAACACACACATCCACGCACTCATGGGGCCCACTCTTCATCCTCAAGGTCAAGAGCTGCTGGGGGGCCAGGGGCTCCTCACTGACGACCTGATGGGGTTGACACCGCATGACCCATTGTGCGCACGTGTTGATCTGTCCCAAGCGTTGCCTGACAGCTGCACGTAAGGTAGGCGTCGCCCTAAACCATTTCAATGAGAGGATCTCAACATGTCTGTGTGTGTGTGTGTGTGTGTGTGTGTGTGTGTGTGTGTGTGGTGTGTGTGTGTGGCAGTTCTTCTGTGTTTCAATGTGCTTTTGGAGTACCAGGAGGCAGGTAATGTAGCAAGCAGGGGACTGCAACAACACTAAACACATTTGCAGGCTGGACGAGCCTCAGCCACGTGGAGTGTGTAATCCAAAACCAGGCCAATGATTATCTCCCCCTCCCCACACGAGCACTGACTCAATTCTGATTTATGATTCGAGATGAATATCAGATTTTCCAGGAAGCTCCCCGCCCCCCCCCCCCCCGATTCCTTCTCTCTTTCCTTCCATTTCTCCTTTTAGCAAAAGAGTGAATGATGTATGTGCATTGATTTCCAATCAGTTATTTTTATTCTCATTTTATTTAAGCTTGGACAAATTTTCAGTGGCCCCAGAGGAGAGCAATGCATCTCTATCAATAGCTCTGTGCCTCATTACTAACTGGCCTTCTGATTGTAAGCAGGCAAATAATGAGTTTATTTCTCGAGTCAGCCACGTCTGCTCCAAGATGCCGCGGACACAAATTTGTTACCCAACAGCGTTTGACACTGACACTTAAAGTAAATTATAACATCAGCTCATTTATCTTGTTTATCTGTTGTGTATAAATGTCTAGTGTGTTTGCATGTGGAGCTAAAGAAAAGGCTACTATTGGTAGTTCATTTTCTAAAATTCATTATTCTGCAGGTAGTTTAACTGTAATTGTGTCATTGGTGCTGTGGCTTTAACTTTACACACAAGAGGTGTGTTTGTGTATTTAATTGCTCATAAATTTAACTTCTCATTTGGTCATTTGCCCGATCACATTCCATTCAGTTTGATTTATATAGCACCAAATCACAACTGCAGTCACCTCAAGGCGCTTTATATATTGTAAGGTAAAAACTCTACAATAAAATCGGACCAATCAAATGTCCCGCTTTAGGCAAGCACTTGGCGACAGCGGGAAGGAAAAATTCCCTTTTAACAGGAAGAAACATCCAAACTTCCTTCGAAGGGAAGGAGACAGGACAAAGGACACACTGTGGAAGACAGACAGAGATTAGTAATAACTAATGATTAAATATAGAGTGGTGTATAAACACATGTGAATGAAAAACGGTGCGTGAAGAAGAAACACTTCACATCATGGGAAGCCCTTAGTTTGCAGCCTAGGCCTATTGCGGTGTAACTATGGGAGGATTCAGGGTCTAAACCCTTTCAGCCCAACTGTAAGCTTTTTTACAGTAGAGAGGGTGTCTGGTTCCTGGATCCAAAGTGGGAGCGAGCCTGAAAGCTCCCAATCTACTTTATATATAATTCACACATAAAGTGATTTTCTCATTTCATACTTTTTTGTAGCTGGTTGGACATTCCGGTGTTCATTGCAAAGGCAACACACGAATGGATTCACCATCATCAGCTCCCATTGGTAAATGCTTCAATTACTCGTCTCGAAGCTTTCTCGTGATTGGCCCACTTTGTGCCAAAAATGACTGCTTCACCTGTCAAAGACACAAGTCATGTCCCTTAAAAAAATAAATCTATCACTCTTTAAAATTGTACATTGTGTCACATTAAACTGGAACAAAACGTAATATCATTGCTGCATTGATTGCTGCTTAAAAAAGGCAGTGAAGAACTGCCTCGTATTCTTTGTCATTTCTAGCAGGGAGCAACTCCTTGGTTTCATAGTTGTGTGGTTGTGCAGAAATCTGAGGGAAAACAACCGTTTGGCTCACTTGCTCTGAGTTTATGAAACACAACCAACATGTTCAACTCGAGGCTTCAGGCTGGGACTTCTCTAAGCAGTGGCCGATGTCATGGTGGCCACATCTGACTTTTGTATACAGTCTGTGGCTGCAACTAATAAAAATGTTCATGTTTGGCTGTTCTTGATATCATACCCAATTTATCGGTTAATCCTCAGTCTATAAATAGTTAAATGTCCATCACAAGGCAAAAGCGACATCATTAGATGTTTTGTAAGAACTAAGCATTAAACTTTTTAGACGTAATCTATGTTAATCAGATACTCACGTCCAGTCATAACTTACAGGAAGCTGATAAAAAAAACTGGAGATCAGCCTAATCTCTCTTCCCAAACCCACTTTTAAAACACATCAGTAGGTCTCCACTGCACCCAGGATATTCAGAAAACCCCATAGAACAACTCACTGATTGGGTTGACAATGATTCATTGAAATGGGTCATCCTGTAATTGCTCTTTCCTGTGGCTACTGGCTGGGCTGGGATTACATAACGATGATAAAGCTCCGGACCTGGCCTTCTGAGATAAAAGCTGCCATGCAGGACCCCGTGCATTCTCTAAATGCTTCATCTAAGAGGTCTTCTGAAGGAAGTGATTACTGCGGAGCTGCCCACTATTGCTCCGACGGGACCCGGCGGCGTACTCTGTTATTCATCAAACGGTGTAAGCTCTGGCAACTTCGGAAATGCGTGAATAATGAAGCCGGGCATATTATTGTACGATGATAAGCCGCACATTCTGTTACATTTCACTCGGTGACAAAAGAAGTTTTAAAAGCTCTTATAGAATGGACATGTCTGCTGAGTCCTGGAGGGGCCACAATGAATAGCCCCATTAGTAACATCAAAGCAGAGTGGAATTCTTTTGCAGGGCTACTGAGGCCAGCTCCAGGCTTCACAAGACATCCCATTGCCATATGACCAAATCAGATGCTCTGGGTGACCAACGTGACCTCACAGCTGAGAGCAGCACAAAGGGCGCTCAGTTGTCTATTCGGGCCAGTGACAGAAAAATAGTGCCACTTAGAACACAATGCAAGTCCTGTGTTGTGGTGTTGTTTATCTCATGAGGACCAGCTGTGCCAGGCTGTGCAGCAACTCAGTGCTGTGAACTTATGCAATAGCTGCAGGAAGGAGATGCCTCTGTGGCACGCGAGTAATTCTCCAAAGAGGAAATGATAAGAATAAAGCTGGGTGACGTAGAGTAATGGCCAGATATGTGATGGAATGCTACTGGAATGAAACGTCATCCGCGAGATGACAGGAAGGAATTTTGTGTTGGTGTAAACTGTCACGTTTCTCCTTTGATAAACACAACTATGCGTACTGTTAGAGTCTGCCTACATTAAAGTATAGGTATGTGAAAAGAAACATCCAGGCTATGAAAAATGTTAGTCTTGTCTGATAGTGTTGACTGTCATGCCCTTTTTAATTTTTTTTATAGCCTATAGCACATTTAAACAACAGAAGCTGACCCAAAGACAGGCACATTTAAATTTTAAGTCTCAAGTAAAAGAAAAAAAAAGTTTACAAAGACACAAAAAGTTTGCTTTCATGTTAACTAATTACTGTGGAAGTACAAATCGCGGTGACTTAGAGTCATTAAGATGCATTCAGAATTCATCGTATAAATCATGACGCACTCCTCTCTCCCCTACAAAAGCTGCCTTTATAAGTTGAAAGTATCGGTATCGGCAATACTTGGGGCATATCAAAATGTGCAGTATGGCACAGCACTAGTACTTCTCACTTCTCATATTAAAACAAAAGATGAAGACAAGTAGTGGAACTATTCTAAAAGTGTGTTTTCCTCACTTCCTGTCTACACAAACACGGGGCACAGCAGTGCAAAGCTAGGCTCAAAGATTTGGTTAAATTCCTGCCTAAACATGGTCTAGAATGATCTTGGGAATAATTGAGTGTTAATTTATACAGGATTTTCTCCATGTATCATAATAATTAAATTGGGGTAAGACAAACTCTTTAACTTTGGGGAACTACTGTTGAATATTAATTCTGCGTTGTGCTCTTTTAAGTGCAAATTAGGGTTTAAAAAGATACTTTTAAAAAAACCCCAGTAAGGGCTGCACTTGTCAAACCTCAACCACAGAGTGCAACTTTGATCTTCCTTCAGTAAATCAGCGATAAAGCAGAAGTCTACATGAATGTAGTCATAGAGGAGAACTGAGGACTAATGTTTCCTCTAATGACAGCGTGTGTCGTGATAACATAATATCCTGCCATCCATTAGTCACCGTGTCCCAAGACACTTCTTCACCGCGTGGAACTTTCAATGGCTCTTGTCAACACAAGCACTTCGCCACAGTTACGGCCTTGAAGACAACCCCCTTCAAACAACACTGTTGCAACTGCTACTTGTGACAAAAGTTGCACACATGTACACAAGAGGTTTCGCCACAGAAGAGAAACTGTTTCGGCTCACATGCGCTGTCTGTGGCGAAACACCGTCGACAGAAAAAAAGACTACGGCGAAAAGAGCCCGTCGCTGGTTATATATATGTGGCTATAAATACCAGCCAATCAGAGACGAGCCACTGAGAGTTAAACGAACCACTTAAAAGCGGAGATGAGTTAGCGGACCGACGCGATTGGTCGGCTGTGATATCATTCGCGGGCCTTTGCTCTTCTCGTCGCTGATTGGTGGAAAGGGAGGCGGGCGTAACTGATGACGACGAGGGGGCGGCAGAGGAGAAGAGGGAAGGAGGGGAGGGGGCATCGAGGTTTGAAGAGGGAAGTTTGCAGAGCGCAGTTGTTCCCCATCCAGTGTGGTGCAGTGTTTGCAAATACCTTGAACGAGAGCGAGAGAAGAAGGAAAGGGGGGGATTGACTGGCTGACTGACGCGCGGAGTCTTCTTCTGCTGCTGCTGCTGAGTACAAGTCGTTTGCATCGCGGAGGGATCGCTGCTGTGTCTTTCACTGGGTTTTCTACCTGAGAAAAATATATTTAAGTGCAGCTAAAACAAATTTAAATAATAAAAAAATCACAAGCTCGGGGAAAAATGGATGTTCTACCCATGTGCAGCATCTTTCAAGAACTTCAAATAGTTCACGACACGGGCTATTTCTCAGCCTTACCGTCACTGGAGGAGTACTGGCAGCAGGTGAATATAAGTTAATGTATCCGCTAGCAGCTCTTTTTTTCCACTACTAAGTCTCAATTTGAGCCTGTAAGGCAAAGCGGAACTGAGCAGATTTCATGCTCTTCTTGCTGTAACACATGACACGGCGGACAACTTCAAATGTATTTATATGTACTATGTCCGTGTATGTACTCTGATAACGGTTGTACAAAAACAGGCTCCCGCTGCTTAGACGGATCCCGTTTCATTTTCTGTTTGGTTCTGAAGTTTGTGGCCGGCTGAAGTGGATCAGTGTGTCAGTCTGACAGCTGGGGTCCGAGATGAATGGGGAGAGAGTAACTCGAGCAGAATCGGCGTGCTGCTGCTTCACTGCCACTGCTCTGTTTGGAGCACGGCTTCTGCTTGTTTTTCGGCCGATGCTTTCAGGGCACTGGGGTGCTTCTGTCAGCTGCTGACACATGCTGGCGAATGACAGCGGTTGTGGGAAGGAAGTGCAGTTTGAAATCAGCATGAGAGTAGAGGATGTCGTTGTCGGTGCTTTTCAAATCACATGGTTATAAGTCTGTTGTGGGATCTGCGTTATACGTCTCTGTGCTTCAGAGCATTTGCTTTCCTTTACGAAGCAGATGTTTGTATCATTCTTGGGATTTGAATGGGCTCCACGGCATAACGATATCAAAATGTCAAGCCTCGGCCAATTACTCCTCCTCCTCGCATGAGTAGACACCAGCACAGCTGGAAAAATGTAGTGTAAAAGCTGCAGAGGCCTAGAGGAGAATATTTATAAAAGCTGCTGTCTCAGAACTCTTCTTCTAATGACCCCCCCTCCTCCTTTTTTGCTTTTTAACTTTAAGGGCCCTGTAGAAGTTAGCAAATTTAGAGTCAGTGAATCTTTTCACAGCTGGGGCTTGGAGGGGCTGACAGTGAGGGGAAGGACTGATTGCATGACAGCGGTCCTGCATGAGGACAAGCAGCTGAAATGTTGGAGGGGGAAGTTGAGCGGCTTCCTTAAAAGGACTCTATATTTGTTGAGTGAGTCATTGTGGAGTGCTGAAATGACACTGCACGTTTGGCTGCAGGAGAGCTCAGAGCTGAGGCTGCTCAATGAACTCCATGTGGTCGCGTCGTGTTATGATGCCCAATCAGCGGTGGAGGGGGCTGAGCTGAGCAAAGGAGACACATGATTAGTGATGCCGGCATCAGGAAATGCAAATAATGGCGGTTTCTAGAAGCATGTGTCTTTATTTTTTCCCCAAATTGGCCATCAAAAGTTTAAAGTTTTGAAAATCGGGGCTTAACTTTTAAGACGTATATCAGCGTGCGTCATGTGATACAAAGAAGCAGCAAATATTGGTGTTTTCTTTAATTTTCCTTCCATTGCTTAATCAGTGCAGCCTCATTACTGCACATGCAGAAATAGCAGAAATTTGCTGGTTTCCCGCTGTAAGCGTTTAGCAAATATTCCACCAGCCAAAAGCATACTGGGGATGTGCGCATGCATGATTTAAAAGGATTTCCCCTCTCGCAGAAGCATTTTGCTGCTATGAGTGAATGTGCTGTGACTCATCTGTTCTTACTGTGTCTTTTTCTTTTGCATTCATCCAGACATGCTTGGAGCTGGAGCGCTACCTGCAGAGCGAGCCTTACGTCTCCACATCCGACCTCAAGTTCGACAGCCAAGAGGACCTCTGGAGCAAGCTGATCTTGGCCTGCGGGGATAAGGCCAAGGCCGAGTCTGACCCAAAGGCCCACGAGGAGGACAATCAGGACAGCCAAATCTTGGAAACCAACAGTGTGAATTCAGACGCCAGCAGCGAGGCTTCAGACAGTTCTGAGGAGCTCTCGCCCACTCACAGCTTTACCTCCAACCCTCTGGGCTCTGTCTTGGTTGGCTCTGGACCTTTTAGCCCCTCTGTCATTAGCACACCTCCATCCTCTCCCGAGGCCAACTCGGAGGCCAGCGGCGCGATGAGCAGCTGGGTGAGCACGCACGCCGAGTTGCACTTGCCGGTCAAAATCAGGAGCGGCGGCGTGGCAAAGAGCTCGGAAAAGACGGGACTTGCCTGCGGAGACGCATCTCCGGACGGCAGGAGGCGTGTGCACAGGTGCCATTTCAATGGGTGTCGCAAGGTTTACACAAAGAGCTCCCACCTAAAAGCACACCAGCGCACACACACAGGTGAGTCCCGGCTCTATCTGCCCCAGAGTAAAAACAGAAAAGGGGGATACAAGGAAAGACAGTACTTTCTTTAAAAAAATAAAATCTCAGATTTTATTGAGTCGATGCCAGGAGTGCTGTTAATTCAGTCTTCCACCTTAATGGCATCGTCTGCCCATTGTGTCATGTAATTAAAGGTCCACAGTGCATGATGTCCTCAGCTGGAGCGCTGAGTGTTAGCTCTGCATGGCTGGATAGCTAAACTGTGACCTAATCTATCTGGAATGTGACTGACTGAGCCAGAGAGAGAGCGAGGAGGGGGGGGTTTACAAGGGGGAGGGGTTGCACGTAGGAGATAAAAGGACTTCAAAACAGATTGGGTTTCACCATGGGAAAGGGGAGACTGGCTGAGGAGCCGGGGGGACTGAACTGGGAGGTGCTTTGACTGGTCATTCCAATGTCCCTTGTGTTTGATCAGCAGTGTGAAATTGCACTTGCGGCTTCTTCTTTTTTTCCCCTCCCTCTGTTTTGCATTTTAAATATCCCACACATTCAGCCACACTGCAGCACTGTTGACATTCTTGGCATGTTTCGAGCTGCATGCACGCAGAGCCTGTGAGCCAACAGGTTCAGTGGTATCCCAGGTTTCAGACAGCTTTGTCAGTCTGTCTTCCTGATTGATTTGAATGAACGAAACAAGCATGTCATCACACCAGGAGGAAATGTTAGCGCGGGTTTTAACCAGTCTTCTTGTTTGCTCCCGCAGGTGAGAAACCATACAGGTGTTCGTGGGAGGGCTGCGAGTGGCGTTTTGCACGAAGCGACGAGCTGACCAGACACTTCAGGAAGCACACCGGGGCAAAGCCATTTAAATGCAGTCACTGTGACAGGTAAGCTGGGCTGTTTATCTCCGAGCATCGTCACCGGGCTTCTGATAAGACTGCTTTTGTTCTCATGGGATCTGATTTTTAATTTATTATTTTCACTTCCCATGCATCATCCTAGCAGTGATGCTTGTCTTTAGACTGAAAGCACATTCATGTAGCCCAAAAAACTAGTACTCGACTAATGAATGGATCGCTCTGATATATCGGGTAATGCTAACTCAGTATACACATGTTGATATTTTTGGCCAGTTTGTCTAGTAAAAATGTGACATAGCATATTTCAGGCCCAACAGAAGCTTATGAGTCAGATGTCAAGATTGCTTGTCTGCATTGATGTTTGGACTCTAATTTTTAGAGTCTTTGACACAAAAATCAGGAAAAGCCAGGGTGCAGGAAAAATGAAGCAACTGGCTTCTTCATATTACGAATTTCTCAGTTTAGGTCTGCAGATTGCAACGACTATCTTCATGCCCTACAGCCTGCCTCATCCAGCATCTTACTGACTTTCTCTCTCGCCTCCCCCAATCTATCCACAGATGTTTCTCCAGGTCTGACCATCTGGCTCTTCACATGAAGAGGCACATCTAGAGCGGGGTGAGCGCCGAGCGACGCCACAAAGTGGGGGGAAAAAAAAGTTTTGAAAAGGGGAGAGGAAGGAAAAAAAATGTAAACAAACGCCGCCTCCCGACCAGTCTCTTGGTTGAACTGTCCCAGAGCAGGGTGGCGGGAGAGTGTTCCAGCCAAAGCATGCCGTTTTGCACCATACTGAAACCCAGTGCCTCCGGGACCTCTCTTCGGAGAAAGGCGCTCTGAAGGTCGTCTGTTGCAACAAGAGAGACAAAATCATGGATGGGCAAGTTTTTTTTGTCGGTTTTTTCTTTTTGTTTTTTTTTTGATTGAGAAGGACTTAAAACACACACAGACACACACAAAAAGACAAAACTAAACAAAAAAAACAGAAGAAATAAAAAGAAAAGACAATTAAAGAGTGAATGATTTGTACGTATGGTGCATGATGTTTTGGGGACATCTCCCAGACAGCAGATACACTGGTACTTTACTAAACTGTCTGAGGCAAGCATGTGTGCACTGTGAATGTCTGCGATTGGCTACCGGACCCCCCTCCTCCCCATCTGGAAGAGAGAGGAGAGGAAGAGGAGAATTTTGGGGGGTAGAAGAGATGGGATTGGTGGATGGGCTGGTACCGATGTTGCTGTGGACTGAGCATTCTGGGAGAAGCATTCCGCTTGTGTTTCCCTGGTGGCGGTGTGAGGATGAGGCAGGGAGGAAGCTCCTGCCTGCCTGCCTTGTGTGGTAACCAGACTTGGGTGAGGGAGGGGGGGGGCCTGCTTCTCTGAAGGTAGCGAGGCCTTGGGTTTGACCAGAGCCAGTGACAAAGAGAGAGAGAGGTGCTGACATGTCACCTTCTGGTCTGTGTAACCTAGGGACCAAAACACCCCCCTACACCCCTCCCCTCTCTTGGTCACTGTATGACAGGAGCTTTTTTTGGTGTTTTTGGTGCAGCTACTAAATGTGCAATGTGTTATGTAGCCTGGTTTATTATTTTTTTACAAGCTACAAAGCTCATTTGTAGTCCAATTGTATAAGCTGTGTGCTTAGAGGTATAACACAACTATACTATAACTTCAGTATCATAGACAGGTGTTGCATGGTTCTAGGGTTTCTTCATTTCCTGTTTCCACTGTAATCAGGACTCCAGATAGTTTCAATAAAAGTGCAGCTAAACGGCAAACAGTTAAATGTTACAATATTGTACATAAAGCCTTGACGATTTCCTCTTTTTTTTTTTAATATATATTTTAACACTTAAATCCATTGCCTTCATTCTGGTTTGTCAGATCACCCCTGCTTGCTAACGTTCTCATTCATTCTTTGCCTTGAGGAGTCATTTTGGATTTTTTTGTACTTTCTTTCCAATAATGCACTGTTGACCTTTTAATGGTGCCTTATGCAAGTGACTCGGCCCTCTGGGGTAGCCGTGGTTTTGCTCCCTTTGGGGTGTCACATTTGTTGTCTGGGTGATTTACGAAAAGCTTAATCAAGGCTCAATTACAAAATTGCACCTACTTTGTATTTAAACTAGTTTTTTCTGGCAGTTAATTTGTTGTTTAAATGTAAATGTTCACAAAAGTACCTTTTCTGAGTCAACTGCCTTTTTTTTTTTCCCTGTCTCTTTTTGAGTCGGAGCACCAGTTTAGTCGATGTAAATGCCATTAATTTAAGTTTGAACTTGTACATAGGACAAATGCTGTATGTTTAGAGCACTTAAATTCATTTATTAAAGATGTTAACTACTGTGTAGTATGTACTGAAGTCCATCACACACAGTGCTGCTCCTCTCATTCACCGGTGTCCTTCCCCACCCCA